AAGCTATATCTATGGCATTTTTCAGTAGATTTTAATGGGACACATTTTTAATTGTAACTCTATTTTTTATCCGTCTGATATTTATAGGGCCCCCTATCTGAGGCAAAGCTAAATCGGCACAGTTATGGAAGGGGGCCCCATTATTAACTTAAAAGAAAAAGGATTATAGTTATGGTATTTGTTGAAGATTTTTATCGCATTAAAAAAAATAATTAGAAATGTCGTTTTACACATGTTTCCAGCAGGTTATTAAATTTCATCTAGAATGTACCAGAAAGTTCTAAATTGTTCCACGGGGATATATAGTGGGATCTAAGGGAATATTGAAATGTTAGTTAGTTCAATTCATTGCTATACTGTCCCGAGTTTACTGTTCTCTCAGTAATACTAAGTAATTTTTTTTCACGTGATCTAAAAGGGGTCGGGATCCCATCATAATCTTTATCCCAAAGGGATCAGGATCCCATCAGAAAGCGGGATTTCAACTGGATCGGGATCTCAACCTTGAATGGATCCACTGGGATCGGGATAAAACCGGGAAAATGGGGGTGCCGCAGGGGGGGGTGGTGTTTTCTCCTCAGCCCGAGGGAGCCCCCCCCCCGGAACCCCCCCCCCCCTTTTCCGGTCCCTTAACCTACGCTCCATGCTTAGGGCCCCCAAACTCATAAGAACGGCTCTAGCGGAGCCCTGGGCAAGTTCCCACTGGGCCATGCCTTAAGACGGCACTGCCAGCACTTAAAAAATTATTAGAGGACTCCCCATCGAGTCAACGGAAGAACGAACCATGCGTTCATTTAAGGGGCTGGGTTTTTGTTCTTCTTTTTTTCTTAGGTGAAAACTATGGATGGCATCAATAAGCAAAGCTGCATGCAGATGAATCGGCCTCTATGAATCGATCAATGCCATTCAATAGATTACAAATCCTCTGTTATTAAACTTCCTTATTCCCCATAGAACATGTTCAATGTAAATGTGTTGTGATTTTGATTTGACCTGACCCAGACTAGAGGAGCCAGCGCTCGTTTCTGATTCAATTTAAAAAAAAAAATTACATGTGAATGCTAGGCTATACGACCAGAGACATTCATTATGGCGCCTCAAACAGGGTGGGGGGAGGAAGGGAGGGGGGGGGGCTAAAATGGTGCCCCTTTTCAAGGTTGAGAAAAGTATATTTATATGATGATGATTCAATAATATGTCTGGAGATATATGAGCATTTTAGTTTTGTGAAAACAGGCAGATCGAAACCAAAAAACAGGAAGATCGAAACCAATTATAAGCACACAAAAAAAAAAAAAAAAAGGTATAATTATAAGTACCGGTATATAATTGCTTTATTGGCTTGCAAATTATGTGCCCCCACTACTTCTTCCATGTGACACCCACACAACTTTCATTGTTTACACCTCTGTACACGAAATACTTGGTATAATACAAAAAAAAAATATTTTTAGACTGGGGATTCCTTGTCCTATGACTCGTCACGTGGGTCTGTTGTTCTCGCTGTTCCGCTCTGTTTCTTAAAGACAGTTCTGTGTTAACAGCTGGGCAAAATGAGAAGTCTAAGTTGTTTAGAGATTACGTGAAAAGCTGCACAACAGAAGTTTTCCCCTTGGCAGGTTCACATTGGGTGAGAAACTGCAAAGGTAGACAGCTGAAGCAGACTTCACAAAAGTGGATGGTCAGAATATGGAAATCATAATAAAACGAAAAAAACTAATGCTATTTTTTCAAAAGAGTCACAAAGCGAGCATATATATTGGTCACTATAGGCCTATACGGGTGTATTAAACAATTTAAAAAAAAAAAAGTTTTAAGGGCACCATAAGATCTCGATCTGGCACTAAAAAAAAAAAAACACCCCCCCCACCCCCCCCCCTGGGTGAAATATTTTAAAGTAAATCAAACAGTTTCATGATACCCGACAATACTCATCAATTGGTAATAATCTGGAAAAAAATTTAGTCAGATCAATCGGGTGTCGGTTGGAGCTCTCCCCCCCCCCACCCCTCCATGCCAAACTTAGGTTTTGTGCTCCATGCATTCAAAGTCCATAGTTTAATTTTATTCCACATTACAGCCTAGGGCCCTTTAAATATCCGAGGCCCCCCCCCTTGCAGCGACGCCTCTGGTTATACTAGATTACTACTCCAAATTAACCTTTACATTTAGTGAATTTTTGGGACATTGACACTGCTTCAACTGCCATCAGATCAATAACGTACTACAAAAATATGATGCCTTTTGTCAAAATATCCCTATCCTCTTCACATCAATATGTTACTTCTATATACAGTTTATCAAAATAACCAGTTTAAATAGGCACAGCCTTAAACAAATCCATTTAACATTTCTACCGAACAACACTGACTCTCGTTATTTTAACACTTGGAAATATTTCAATTCTAAATAAATGCAAGAAGGTCATTATTAATACTTATAAATTTTTTTCTATTGCTTTTGTACATGGATGATGATGTTAGCAATCCTAATGTATGACGATGTTAGCAATCCTAATGTATGACGATGTTAGAAATCCAAATGTATGACGATGTTAGCAATCCTAATGTATGTAGATTTTAGCAATCCTAATGTATGTAGATTTTAGCAATCCTAATGTATGACGATGTTAGCAATCCTAATGTATGACGATGTTAGCAATCCTAATGTATGACGATGTTAGCAATCCTAATGTATAACGATGTTAGCAATCCTAATGTATGTAGATTTTAGCAATCCTAATTTATGACGATGTTATCAATCTTAATTTATGACGATGTTAGCAATCCTAATTTATGACGGATGTTAGCAATCCTAATGTATGACGATGTTAGCAATCTTAATGTATGACGATGTTAGCAATCCTAATGTATGACGATGTTAGCAGTGTTTCATTTGTGACCAACTAGTTTGGTAAAAAAAAAAAATCACTTATTAATGAATTCGTGTAGAAAATGAAAACGTTTGAAGAAAAAACTATAAATCAACATTACTAATACTATTTAGAAAGACTAAAAATAAAGGCTTTTTATAAACCATACCAGAACCAAAATTTTCGCCAACATATCTTCAGTTGCTCGCTGATCATGTGTACAATGACGTCAAAACTAAATGCTCCATTGCATTTGAATTGATGAAAAAGTTTATGGCAGAGGTCACTTAGCCCACTCTCCAAAACCCACCTCATGCATTTGTTCGGGATTCTTCGGCGCCCTCAATTTCTGTTCCTTTCCCGATCAAAGTGACGGCACCCTCCAGAGAAGTAAGGAATAGGTGCGGAGGTGCCGGCCAGCCTCAGATGGCACTTTTTTCGTTACCGGCTACATAGGGGCTGCATTTTTGGAAAACTGCAGATTATTTTAGCTTAACCCTCCCCGGCCGGCACCAAATTGTTGCCGCATTGGGTAGTTACCCCTTCCCCGTTGAAATGGAAAGAAACTGACAATATCGGTAACGAATGGGCCAACCTGGGTCCGAAATACTTTTGATAAAATTATTACAATTTATATTAATAAGCTGGAGAGGTTTAGGGGGCCTAAGTGACTAAGTGCATCCCTTTAACCAGGGCCCCCGATGCTCTTAAGACGACCTTGAGAAGGCCTACCAAATAAAATACTTCAGCTTTCATAAACGTGAAGATTGAATGACTACCGGTACTGTATATTGTGGTCGCGCTGCTTTTGATCGTGTTAAATCGTTTTTAATCCAAAAGAAAATAAAGTTCAATAAGTAAAATGAATACCACAACGCTAACACTGCGTACAAGTAGTACAACTTTGTACAAGTATCCCATACAGTACCGGTACTCAGAAAAACACATCATGGACAAAAGAAGAATGGAATGTGCTTTTACTTTTAAGTACCGGTACTGTAAAATAAATGTTTATATTTATATACCCGAGTACGGGACTTTTTTTTTTTTTATAAACAAAAATAACATGACCAAGTTTTATTTGAAGCACTCAGCTCGTGCAACGCTAGCGAACACACTGTACTACAAACTGGTACCGGTATCTTCAACATGCGGGTCAAGGTACCGGTATATTCTGTTCCTGGTTATTGAAATTTTATCTTTACCAATCAAAAGTGAGAATATTGCGTCGGTTTGGAGTTATTTAAAAAAATCTTATCTGAAGTGCTGTAAAGGCTTAAAAATCACTGGGTGGTTCCGTGATTTCCAACTACCACTATCATGAAGGAATGTCGCGTCGTCTACTTGATCCCGTCAACAATAATTCAAATGGAAATACAAAAAAATGATAATGCAATACAAGTACAACTATTAATATAGTATTAACTATACTTTACATCGCATTTGTATAGTGTACCGGTACTCAATTATTCATCCACATGTTTAAAATTAGCTTTCAGGGGAAGATAATCACTTATTAAAAAAACACCTAGCAAGAGAAGTATTTTTTTCTGTAGGGATTGGCTCCCTTGATCTCCAACATTTCAGAAAACTGTTATAGTTATACTTAAAGCAAATGATAGGGGAAACTCACCCATGACACTAAGCAGAATATTTTAACCATGGTTTGCAAATAATTTGCATGTAAAAATAGAATATGACATGAAAACAGGTATCTAGCAACTGTAACTTTTACAAGTATATTTGTTGTCCTTGTGCCAACATTTTTGTTGAACAAATAATCAGGATACCCATTAACTTTAACTTAATGCCTATCGGATCCAATTCCAAAATTCTACACCCGTAATTTAAAAAAAAACAAAAAACGAGTTAATTTTATTCAGGAGCCTCATCCAAAAGGTCACCACCAAAAACAGAATATGTCTCACTGTATATTCCAGGATATCAAGAGGACTCATTTGATACCATAGTTCTAACTGGTACGGTACTAACTGCACTCATTCCCAGTTAACCCTTTAACAAGAAACAAGACAGTCTCACATAACATGACTTTGTTAAGAAGACTGCAGTACCGAGTGCACCAATAATATGCTATCGGCAGTTGAACCATAAATGAAACAAGACACAATTTTCACAATGCAGCTCATTTTATTTACAAAATATGACAATTGTATTCTTGATCTTGTAAAATAATGGGGGACAATCATTCTAAAAGGCCAGGTTTACTTTACAGTTAGAAATGACAATGATCATGTGACATGGCAGCCACAGAGTCTTTGAACAAGTTAAAAACACTTGCACCATGCCATCTGAAAATAGAACATCAATGATGGTGACACACAACACATAATCACCAATGAAATCAAGTTTTTGTCTTACTGGTCACCACACTTCCTTCCACACACAACACCAAAAAATTACTAAAATAATGTTTACAGATCTAGTAGGTGATCAGCAACTTCAGGGACTTACATAGCTACACAAGGGACATTACCGAGGATAATGTGGCTGCCCCCAGGAATTTTAACCTAAACAATTATAAAATTTTGATTTTTAAAAAAAAATCAATCGGAAGAAACAAATTTAAACATGATGAACATCAAATAAAATCAAGAATGCATCAAAAGACACAAATCTAGTTAATACTTCAGGATATCTCAAATTAAAAGCATTTATTTTTTCTGAAAACAAACCAATAAAAGAACAGATCCTACATAGTATTAGGTGTAAAAATATGTTGTTTTTATTTCCACAAAGCATTGAACAAACCACACCAGTTTAACCATAGAGGAAAAATATATTCCTCTGAAACAACACTGCAGCATCTAAAAAATTCTGACTGCAATGTTTGTGATTAAGACCTCATATAACTAAATAATCAACTGTTAAGAAATCACCGTACCATAATGCCACTTCCATATTAGCACCAATAGATTTAATCCTATCTTTACAACAGAAATGCTGTGTTAAAATATCTAAGATAAGCAAGGATCCCTGGGGTTTCTGGTGATACAAAAACAGTGAATGAACCTGTACAAATAAATAATCGATCTTGACTAATGCAAGGTAAAAAAAAAAATCTATGAATGGCTATGTGGTAGCCAGAACAACTTTGGGTTTGGGGTGGATGTCAATAAATGCTAAGACTAAGAAGATTGTACTGTATAAAACTAGACCTTTATTTCAATAACGATCTGTTTAAAAAAAAAAGGGACGGAACTAGATCAAATGCACCACTGAAATAGCATGAGTACCTTAACTAAAATTTAAAATAAAACTCATCATTAAAAACTAGGGATCGGCTTTCTAAAAGCGCACTTATATACAAAAGAATAAGAGCAACCCTACAAACAAATTGCAGTTTTTGATAAAAAATATATAGTACTCATTCCCCTAGCTACAACTAAGAAAATGTCTTACAAAGTCAGATGTGTTCCGAGGGATCATGAACACATAGCACTGTACTCTTCATTATCTATGTCAATAACCAATAAGACCACTTTGAACAAAACCCAATCTTTTTTTCTAGAAAAACACATGCCCCCACCCCCTCCCCAATAGATGGGAAGCAACAACTTGTGTGGTGGTGGTTGGGTGTGCTCACAGCGTAACCAATACAATATACAACACAGATGACTGAAACCCAGGCTAAAATTTGACTTTAAAATGGTCCTCAGCAACACAAAAATAAATAATAATCACTCTGTGCTTCCCTCCACAGTTTTATCCACCGGGGGAATCTCTGTGCCTTGGACTTTTAGACCCTTCAACTGACCAGCCAGCTCATTGGCCCCATCACCATCCCCATTGGTTTGTTTCTCAGTGTCTTTCTCAGTTTTCTCAGAGTCACTCTTTTCAGCATAGGCTTCTCCGTCTGAAATAAGATTTGGACACACTGACAATGCGCCACAGATAAGGATATAATGTAATGGAAAATAGGGAGAGGTCATCATGTTACAACAAGAAAAAAAGTTGTCAGTAGATGATTTAAGGCATACTATTTTATAACATTTATTTTTTTAAAATGGTTTCAAATTTCTAATTAACAAACTGAATGTACAAATGCCACTTATCAATGCAAGTTTTTAAAGTTACTTTGCTTTAATAATGAATGTATACAAAATATGTTAAGAATTGCGACAATTTAAGCATAAAACTCACTAAATAATTTTAAGTGAAAAGGTTATCAAAGCTCTACAATAACTGTACTGTCAAGCAACTATGTAAGCCATTCATGATAAGTTATGTGCAGACTTATGATAAGTCTGAAAAAAAAGTAGAAGATCACCCTCCTCAAATTGTCAAACTAAAACATACTCACTTTCTAAAACCGTCTTTGTTCTTAAAACTTTTTTCATTTCTTCTGCAGATTCATCAAACTGAGTCTTGAACTTTTGAGCATCTGTAACAATCGAGAAGATTTAAATGAAACATTGTAAAGATACAGTGCCCAAACACGTATTATTTACATATCATTTGTTTAATTGTGAAAAAATTAATTCAAATACTTTATTAAACAAACCTAAACACCAGAAGCACTCCAAATGATTTATATCTTGATGTGCTGATGGTTGCAATGTTAAAATTTATTTCTTTTAGTATCCCAGTATAAGACTAAATCCTTTTTACAATTTTGCAAAAAAAAAAAAAAAAAAAAAAAAAAATAAAAAAAAAAAAAAAAAAAAAAAAAAAAAAAAAAAAAAAAAAAAAAAAAAAAATAAAATTTATTTTTTTTAGTATCCCAATAAAAAACTAAATCCTTTTTAAAATTTTAAAAAAAAAAAAAAAAAAAAAAAAAACGTTTATAGAGAAAAATAAGCATCAAAAGACAGAAAAATTAAATTATTAACAAAAAATGTATTAAATAACGGAGAAGATTAATTAAAAAAGAACAAAAAAAACAACAAACTAGCTGTTAACTCTACGAAGACTACAAGTTACAAACTTACTTTCAGCATTAGCAAATCTTATGGCAAGCACCTCCTCTTTGCATTCCTCATCAGCAAAATCAGCTGTTGTAGACCAAACCCACGCTCTGTCACTACCGCAGTTTGGTTTTAGTTCCATTGTGGGGTAAACTTAAAAAGAAACCGAACAACACCCACGTTCAGAATATTTTAAGATTTTAAGACAATAAAATTTAGAAATCTTTTTGTAGATGACTATTCTGCGTCTTTTAGACAGAGAAGTTAATATGATCGTCATAGCTCGGTGAGCGGGAGTCAGCAGAAAGAACAGGAGTCTCTAATTTCAAATGGCATAAGTTTATTAAACTAGAAAAAGTTATAACCAGGTGTTCAATTCAAAATTTAGTTTCCAAAGCCAAAAAAAATAAATGTGATTTTTATTTAATCATTCTTTTTATGGTAAATTCAGTTTTGTTCAATTTTAAAACATCAGGTTCCAAAATGTATAAAAACTGGAATTTATTACTGTGGGAATGAGAAATCTCTCCAAGAAATTAAAAAAAAAAAAAAAAAATCGGCTAAGGAATCTTAAGCGGTACATTCAAAAAAATTGTTTTAAAAGTTGAAACTATTTCCCGAATAAATATCTCTCACTAAAGTCTTAAGTCAAACATTTTAAAACTTAAAAGTCTTTAAACACAATTATTTAACTCATTTGTTTTGACATTTGAAAATAATTGCATTGTTAAAAAAAAAGAGGAAATATTGTGAGAATTATAATGGCAATGAAAGTGTGATAAAAAACAAATCTTTAATTAATATTAACATACTGTAGTGATTGGCGCATATTTTCAGAGTCTTATCTCTTCTCATGAGGATACGTGCAAGCCCTGTCTTCTTGTGTTTAAGAATTTTACAATCTCCTGTGCCTCGTTCCTTCCATTCTTTTGGTTCCGATTCGTGATCATATCGAAAAAGCTTTGCCCGCCTGAACACACAGACATTTGAAATAAATATCAGGCCTATATTATATTAACCATATGGCTATATGATGTAGCATAACTTCTATTAATATTTCTTTAAATGAGTTATTTTGCTAAATTAATAAGTTAATATTTTGAGGAAAAAGTTAAGATACAAAATATCTCAAAATCTATTTTCTTACTTATATAGTTTACGTTTAACAATTCTCTTGCTGCCTCCCCAGATAATACATGTGAGTGTTATTTTTATTGATTTTACTATTATTTTTCGCAGAAGAAGGCTTCTTGCCAATGCGTTTTGATGCATTCTATTTTTCTCCTAATTTTTCCCATACTTTGTTTCACTCATTTCCTTTTTTGCTACGGTAACCTGTTTGCAGTCTCTTCCCCTTATTATCATTAAGAACAGCCTAGATAATGTTGGTTCGGCACGCCACTTTAAGTTTCTGTGTAAGGTTCTCTCCCTTAAGTCTATTCTTGGATTGTTAACGAGTTAACATTTCTTTTTTTAAATATTAATATGCAGCCGATGGAATGTTTCAAATTATAATTTCATTGGAGACATTGGATGTTTCATCATATTACTTAAATTTTACAGCTTTTTGGAAAATGGGTACACAATGGCATTGTATTGATTTTAGTTACAACTTTTAGATCTTCGTTGAAGTGGAACCCACAATAAAGTGTGTGAAACAGTAAATCTTAGTCGGGTTTTAATTTTTATTTAAAAAATATTTTGTATTGGTAGACTTCACCTTTACTCGTTTCTTACCAGTCATGTTTTTTTAGTCGAGATAAGGGAGTGCCCGCACGTAGTATGCACTTCTAGTCACATATCTAGAGGGATACAATAATGTTGCTACAATCACCACGAAATTAATGTACCGCCTGAAATTGTGACAGGAAAGGAGGCAACACAGGTTGTTGACACTTCTAGCCGCATATCTAGGGGATACAATAAAGTTGCATCGTTCGCTCAAAATAAGTGTACTGGTTTAAAATTAAAGATTTTATAAAATTGTAACATTTTTTCCTTTCTTTTTCATCTGTAAACTGTAAGGAGCTAAAATAGCACATTCTCTTTCTCCTCCCCATGTTATCTGATGTGTTTGCACTACTTTTCTTTTAAACAAGGCAGCCATCTTGGTTGCCATGACATGGGCTGTTATGACAACCAAGATGGAAATGGATGGCCCAATGGCGCACCAAACCAACATTTACCTACAGCAGCCATTATTTATAGACCTATCATCATGAAACGCTAATCGCCATTAGATAATGTCCCCATGCCTCTATGTCAGAATTAACTATAATTAGTACGGTAATAAACTAAAAAGGCCTGTCTATACTATACTTATACTCAATATTAAGTCTAAACATTTCATAAGTAGTTAGCAGACAATATGAATGTAAGTTTAAAGAGGAATACACATTTATCTTTGTATAGTCTTAAAAGCAATGTTCCCTTTAAGCTGCGCGGCCGTGCAGCAGTTTTGAGTACTGCACTGCTAATTTCCACTTAAGTGTCTTTAGGCTGAAAATTTTGGGCACAAAAAAATTGATGCTAAAAATATTTGCACACAACTTTATGATTTTCCACACGAACCAACAAACCTTAGACTTAGAGGGAACATTGGTCTTAAGATCGTTGCTTAGCTAGTGTGTGACTCTTAGATGAGTAGGCTACTCACTTGCCACTAACCAAAGCCCAGGGCCTTTACTAGTCTTTTAGAAAGGGGCAAAGGATGGTTAAAAAATATGTTAAATATATGTGCATGTGTAACCCTCTATATTTCAAAATGAATCCTTACAAGCTCAATAAGACATCCTCATCTTCTTCCATTGTCTTGATTTCTACAAGGGAGAGCTTAACAATAGGCTCAAAATGGATTTCTGGAGATTCTGGTTCATGTTCTTCATGTTCCGAATGTTCAGTCTGTAAAATAACAAATTAAAAAAAAAAAAAATCAGGCAATTGAAAGTAAAAATAATAACCAAATTTGGTAACCGCTAAGGGCAGGGTATATTTAATTATCTGTAACGCACAGTAACTACTCATTTCAGTTAAAATCGAGATTGCAAGCAATACAATAGGTCAATTTCAATATTTTGAAAATTAAAATATACAGTGATACCTTTTCATCTGCCATGATTGAGATGGATTGTTATTTCCCGCTATATGATTACTTCGTAAACAAAGATACGTTCCAGAGCAATTGATCCACTTCCGGTGTCATACAAAAAGAACCGATAGTTAGCCGTAAGAGATATTAAAATTTCGTTTTTTTACGTTTATTCTTGTAGAATACGAGCTTTTGTACCTTAAGGGAATGTACTCTTAAAATGTCGTTTGTTCTTTAAAAAAAATTCATTTTCGTTTTCTAAAGGTCGTTTGAGTTGGACTAATTCACTAATTCATTAACTAATTGATATTTTGACTTTGAAACTTTTGATATCAAAGTGATTGTAAATAAAAGACTATGCTTCCCAGGGAAGACAGAGAATATGACGTTTATAAAGATTCACTTCTCCGATATGCTGGTAAATAAGCATTTCATTACATTTATTTTGAAATTACATTTTTAATCCATCTACCGATCTACCTCAATCAGTCAATCAGAATCACACCATCACTGAGTACTGAGACTCACTCGGTCTGACACTATACTATAAGGAGTATAAATATTAATTAGGGCAATTAGTAATCAGGGCTATTTATAATAAAATAACTAAAAAATAATAATTAAAATTAATAATATTAATATATATTATATTATATAATAATTTATAATAAATAATTTCAATCTAAATAAATATAGGCCTAAGTTTAAGATTAGTTTAGAGTTAGAGTTTAGTATGATAATGATTATTATTTCTGATCTGTTTATGATTATGATAATATAAATGATGATAATGGTAAATTTCGAGAGATCGCCCCAGGGTTTCCGCCATCTAAGCCATCTTGGTTGACACAACCAGTTAATTCTGTCACTTAACTTAACCTAAACTAAATCGATCCCTATGCCTAACCTGAACCCTAAATCGATCCCTCAACCTAACCTAAACCCTAATTCACTGCAACTATAATAAACACGCAAATGACGTCACAGGATGATAAGTGTCTTTAACTTTAAGTCTAGTCTTTCACTACTCAACTAATAATATAACTTATCTGAGGGCTCGAGGCTTAGCTGAGGCTAGTTCTTTACTTTTACAATTACTGAACTGGCTTCACTACAGAATCATTTTCAAAAAGTTGACAGTCATAACTATTTATAATATTTTTAATAATTATTGTAGGCTGTGTAAGTGTAGGTTTATTAGGCTATTAATTACTAAGTATTACCAATGTCTAAGTCCTACAGCTACAGCTTATGCCTATGCCTAGCCTAACTAACTTAGCCACCCAAGCCCAAACTAACTTCTTTTTCTACTAATTAAATTACTTTAACGAAGGCCTACTTGCTATTATTTTAGAAATAGTAGGTATCAAAAACAAAAGTCAACATTAGTAGTAGTCTACAGAGTACACTTCAGTTTGAGTGAGTACAGGCTCTAGCCCCAGCCGCCCTTAAAATTGGTCCTAATTATTTAAATTATAGACCTACTATGTAAATGTATGCCACAGTTTGGACATATGTTAATGAAGTAATGCCTAATACTGCTAATATTAATATCATTAATGAATATGATAATTATAATTTTAGAAATAAGTTGTCTATTCATATTGAGTTGACATTCTTTTACTCCTATTAATAGAAAGTATGAATTTCAAATATGATAACTAGACCATGGCCATAATATCATGCACATATTCATATTCAATACGCCTAAACAATTTGATAATGCAAAGGCATAGCCGCTCTAGCAAAAAATGCCTTACAATAATTCAAGAAATATAAAGAAAAATTTATAGACCCACTACTAATGGTACAGAAACTTTGATTGATATGGATGGATAAGTAACTTTCAAGAATTGTTATTGGTAAGAGTACCGGTAGTAACCTTTTTAAATATTATGAATATGTCTCATTAAATAATTAGAGATTAAATTACAAATGTAGCTTAATTATCATAGTTATTTTTTTTTGCTTAAACTTAAAACAAATGTTAATAGTTGGCTAAACTAGGAAAATTAGAAAGAGTTAAGATGCTCTTTCTTAAACTCATTCACCTTTCAATGAATGTGCAATTGACAGTAGCAGTAAGTGTAAAGCCAGGGTGATTTTTAAATATTAATAAACTTTCCTTTTGTTGCTTCCTTTTTGAAAAGGTTATGCAAATGAAGTTGGCGAAGCCTTTCGCTTGATTGTTCCTGTGAAGTTTGTGTGGCTGAGCTATGCTGTATCTAGTGGCTATGTTATTGCAGATGCAATCGACAAAGGCTATCGGGTTTGGAAGGTAAGTGGGATATTTATCAAAATTTCAAGCAAGATGATGAGTAGTTTCATTACTTTTTTAACATTAAAATGTTGTAAAGTTATAAAGTTTTAAAAAATGTAGTATAAAATTGGATCAGGTATGCATATAATTGTCATTATATTTTGCTACTGTTTATTAAAAAGTTCTAAAAGTAAAAGCAAAATTTGCCACCAAAAACTGTAAATCCAATTTCAAGCTAATTTCAATCCCCCACTTTTTAGTTGATTCATAATTTGTTGATCTGTTTTTCCCCCGTTTTAAATTTTTAGTAATTGGGCAATGTAAAAATATTAATGTTACAATTGCAATGACTTGACACCTTTAATTACTTTAAATCGGGGGTACTCATCCTTTTTAGTTATAACATTGTCAAGTTGTGCCGACCCACAGCAAGCATTATTCCTATATAGAAGAAATTAAGAAATAGGTGTTGAGAGGTTTGGGGTGGGTATTGATTGTAATTGCTATAGTGTAGTCATGGTGTAGTGACGACTAAAAAAAACTAGCCCTGTTATTTCAAATAAAATTTAAATTTCAAAATTTAATGTAACGTACCAATAAGATGAAATGCACATTAAATTTTTTTTTTAAATGTGTGATGTCTCAATGTGCCCTTGGTCTATTGTCAGATGACCCCTGAGGGGTTGAGAACCGCCACTTGTTATCATGTCTTGAAGAAAGCAGAAGCTCCATTTAGTAATTATTTAATGCACTTGTCATGAGGTCATTACAATAATGTTGTTTCTGTTTTGTCTTGCACAGAAACCATTCCAATCAGAAAAGGCGCGCTTTAGAAGGGCAACCATAGCAACGTGTGACACTCTCATCTGGCAAGGACTGGCTTCAGTGATCATTCCGGGGTTTACCATTAACCGCATTTGCTGGTTGGCTAATAGAGGTTTGAGCATGATTGAGAAATTTCCACCCCCTGCCAGGAAATGGACTGTTGCAGCTATTGGCCTGGGAAGCATTCCTTTCATTGTAAAGCCAATAGATCGAAGTGTCGACTTCCTCATGGATAACACTTTCAGAAGGCTTTATTATCGTTAAAAAATCTCAAAACTGTGTGTCATTAGCACATTAAGATTGTTCATGTGTTAAATTTTTGACATAAGACTTTATGAGAAGCAAGTTAACCTGTTTAGAGGTGGCATCTCATTAATTTCTAGTGTTTGATTTTGTCATTATTTTTGTTTAAAGTCTAATTATATTGAACAGTTTTGTAGTTAGTACGGCTGTATTAACTAATTAAATAGTTGTTTATTTTTAAAAATCTTAAAATGGTTTTTATATTTTGATAAAGAAATTCTCTAACACATGGCTACAGTAACATTAGCGACCTAACACTAGAAACTCTGCTCCATAATATTATGAAAAGTATTACTAAATAAAAAAGAGAAAGATCATGCCCACCTCGATAGTAGTAAAAAAAATAACATGTCAGTCCGTTAAATGAATGATAGTCTGAATTATTTGCTTGGTAAACATAAGGCCAAAGTAAACACAATTTTCTCATTTTCATGTGCTGCTTGTCAAAGAGGTCTGGATGATAAAACATGATGTAACAGTCAATGCTAATTTTGTTAAAATACGATTAATTAACCAATTTTTTGTTGTTGTTGACCTGATAAGAAAATGTACCATTACAAAACTCAAACTGCTTTTTGAAACTGCTGTTGGAATATAACTGGCCCTGATGCTCCACATGTACTACAGTATTACTCCAGCATAATCCACACCTTATTATCACAGCTGTACAAAACAACTCATTTGATCTTTTTGTTGATTTTTATTGCAGGGAAAAATGATTTTTACCTTGTAACAAGGTTCCACTGCTGGTGGGCAGCCAGAGAAAATTTTGTTGATCGTTTGCAACATAAAACTGCAGGAATATTTTATGTCCCTATTTTTATTGTAGTAACCCTAACATGTTTAAATAAAAAAGAAACTCATTACACTTACACCTTGAAAAAGAGATACCGTACATTAAAGTTAAAGTAAACTCATCATCATCATAATGTCCCTTAGTCCTTGGACCGTTGGGGCACCACAGATGACATGAAAACTATTCTCTTCCATTCCGCTCTGTTTTCTGCACTTCGCACAGCATCGCCTAGTTTTAGTCCCGTCCACTCTTTGATGTTATCTTCCCATATTTTTATCTGTCTTCCTCATCTTCTCCATCCTCTCGTTGTGCCCTGCAAGATTTCTTTGGGGAGCCCTTGCTTTCTTGTCCCGTGTTAAACTACACTATCATTATTTGTTTCTTATTCTGCCACTCAGTCTGATCTTTTTGATAAATTGTAGATCTAATGTTCTATTCAAATTGCTTTTTAAAAGACTGAAACATACTTTGGATTTTGTTAATAATAATTCCAAATATTGAAATTTAAATTTAACTTCATTGAAAATTTTTATTTTTTAAAGTTGTTTTCAAAAGAGACTACCTCCATTTTAAAATGAAGATGTTTAATTAGTCAGTCAGTTTGTCCTATAACTATAATTGTTACTTTGCCACATTAATGGATTCTCTTTACAATAAATACAAAGAGAGTGACAAAGAATAACCTCTCTAGCGCTTTCTGTTTTTTTTTTTTTAATGGATAAGCAGCCTCAAACTTCCATGATCATTTTAATAGAGTTGATTAGTAGGATCGAAAAGTTTTTTTTCTTCTTTAAAGTCTTGTTGGATTTTATAAAAAAAATTTTTGTTGGATCTTTGTTCTATTAATTTTAACTTAACATTAGAAATAATTCTTTCTTTTCACTCACCATTTCCACCGTTCCCCATGGCCCACAAGCTGTAACATGCCAATGTAGAGATCAAAGATTATTTGGAACCTTTTACAGTTATTTATTTATAATCATGAGATGTTAAGCTGAAAAAATATTTTTAGCCAGAATGTTTAGTATTGCTTTGTTTGTTGGGTCAAGTAAAGGCTCATCTTGATTTATTATACTTTTGGCAGCCTTAAAATTATTCACAAACTGATCTCATCACCCAGTGCCTTACTTATTGATTAATGAACTTTTTTTGTTGTTGTTGATCACTTGTTGTAACGTCTCTTTATTAAAATGTGTTTTTAGTGGCTTGATGATTACAAGATTTTGAATATAGAATAATAGCTCCTCCAATACAGTTGCAAGTAGAATAATCATAACACATCATTATGTAGCTCAAATGGATAATTGATGAAGGGAGACGACTTCTTAACAATTAAATACTTTGTTGCACTCTCGTTCAAAAACTTAAATTCCTCAAGCCTATCAAAACATTTCTAAATACAGAGACTTTACATTTGTCTTTTCATCCATAAATATTTACAAAGTTTAGTATTAATGGACTTCCATTGTTTAATTACCATTTCAGTCTGCTAAAAGTATTCATGGAACAGTTTGGGACCCCCCCCCCCCCCCCCNGTACTGCCTGTATTTTAAAAAAAAAATTATTATTACTGTTAGTATTGCTCTTAGCATCGATATCATGAAGCACATTTCCAGCCCATTTTGAAAAGAGGTGTGTAGCCTCAGTTGTTACCATATTAGTAAATAAATAAATACATTGAATGGCCAGAAAGAAAAAAAAAAGGCCACCGATCTCAATGGACTTGAAACTGTGTACACTATTCAATTTACAAACACAAAAAACCAAAAAAAAAAAAAAAAAAAACGCACACCATTTTTATCTGATATTTAAAAAAAAAAATCATGGTTTTATTTGTGCTGGTAAAATGGTAACTTAATCAGATTTTAGGTGTGTGTATGCATCTATATTTCATGAGTTTTTATTTTTAAGCCTAACTTTAATGTTTTTTCAGCAGGGCATGAAGCAGAACAAATGTACTTGTGATCCATTGAAAGTGTGTGGCTGGTTTCCCAAAAAAAAGCGTTTAAAAAGTAATGTCTGCTATAAAAATCTGATATTGTATATTATTGTAAATATTTTTGCATGGACAAGCAAATCCAGGATTGACCAAATAAATGCTGTGTAGAAATGTCTTCTTGTGCACTACTTAAGTAGCACAGATATCTTTCTTTTTTGTGCCTGTGATAATTCATTATGAGGAAACTTTTCCAATACCCCAATAGTCTCCCCTGACTAGTCCAAGCCTTTTGAAATTTTTCTGTGAAAAAAAAAATGCAATAGAGGAACAATAAAAAAACATGTGTAAATGAAAGATTTTTATTTCATCCATCTGAAAGTGAATGCTGTGACTGATACTTCTGGATATAATTTTAAAACAAAAGCTATCTAGATCTACTCTTATAAAGATTCAGTATTGTCATACAGTTAATCCAGTCCATGTTTGGGTTCACTGCTAATCCCCAGCATCGATTCATAATGTCCAATTAAACCATTAAAATCATTCTTATAGTTACACATTGTTTGCGAAACTTCATTTTTTAAAATAATATTATTTTTAGCGATGGCAAACTGATGACACGGGCCTAATTAAAAGATTTGGACCACAGTTTGAAGACTTGAACCAGTTTGAAGACTTGGACCACAGTTTGAAGACTTGGACCACAGTTTGAAGACTTGGACCATAGTTTGAAGACTTGGACCACAGTTTGAAGACTTGGACCATAGTTTGAAGACTTTGACCATAGTTTGAAGACTTGGACCATAGTTTGAAGACTTGGAACATAGTTTGAAGACTTGGACCAGTTTGAAGACTTGGACCATAGTTTGAAGACTTGGACCACAGTTTGAAGACTTGGACCATAGTTTGAAGACTTGGACCATAGTTTAAGACTTGGACCATAGATTGAAGACTTGGACCATAGTTTGAAGACTTGGACCATAGTTTGAAGACTTGGACCACAGTTTGAAGACTTGGACCACAGTTTGAAGACTTGGACCACAGTTTGAAGACTTGGACCACAGTTTGAAGACTTGGACCACAGTTTGAAGACTTGGACCACAGTTTGAAGACTTGGACCATAGTTTGAAGACTTGGACCATAGTTTGAAGACTTGGACCATAGTTTGAAGACTTGGACCATATTTTGAAGACTTGGACCATAGTTTGAAGACTTGGACCATAGTTCAAAGACTTTGACCTTAGTTTGAAGACTTGGACCATAGTTCAAAGACTTTGACCACAGTTCAAAGACTTTGACCATAGTTCAAAGACTTTTACCACAGTTTGAAAACTTGGACCACAGAGAGAAGACTCCTTATTAGCTCAGGTTACTACTATTACTTTTTATACCCATTTGTCGGTATTAATTATTAATTACAGTATAAAATCTGTGATAACTGATATTGGAAATATTACAATTAAACAGAAAATATAAAACATTGAGTTGTTGAGTAATACATTTTGCTTAATATGTTGAAAGATTTTGTCTTGAGATAATGTGAAGCTCCTATGGAAGAATTGCACAGCACCAATTGCGCACGTTTAGAAGGCAAAGAATGGGGAAATAATAGTTAATTTTAGAACGCGAATCTGCACCGAACTGAACAGAACCTCAACAGGATCCAATATCTTCTAATCGTATCGCAAGCCATTTTATTAATTCTCTAATAGGACATTGCCAGCCATAAGTCCAAAGTGAAAAGAAGTTTGAGGCGCAACCTATCTGTGACTTCGTTCTTAGGGGGAGGGGGGGAGAGGTCAAGTCAATAAGTCACATATTGTTTTTTTTTCCAGTCACAGTCAAATCTTAATAAATCTCATGATAGTTATGAGCGACTAGTAGTGAATTTAAATAAAACAAATTTAACAGCATAAGTAGCTTCCCAGGGGCCAAAATCTAGTGACCCAGGCTTCATAACCATAGTCTTAACCATGTGTACCGTTGACGACGTACCAGAGTTGGCGTCTGTTCTTCCACAACTGCCACCACGAGGTTAGTGAATAACAAAAAGTTGACTATTTGCAATCAAGTGAGCCGTAGGTCAACTCTTCCAATACTTCCGTTAAAAAAAACAACACCCCAACAACAACAGACTGCTAATGGAATAGTACTAATACACTGCTATGTATTTCCTTATCTTATTTGTTTGGTAGTCAAATGTCTTTTAAAATAAACCTGGCTGATGCGCCGCTGTTACAGAATGCTAATGCTATACTGTAACCATGTGTTGGTCCCATTTCAGACGAGCTACTCTCTGAGCTGTCAAGTGCTGATGTGCCGCTCAAGAGCCCCCTCTTCACATTAATTGAACTGATCGCCTCCATGTCAGCTGGTAGATACGACCCCTTCAGTGTGTTTCCATTACGGGCTTTAGGTGAGCCCACCACGCATCGGGGGGGGGTGGTGGTGGGGGGAGATTTACCTAACCCATAGTTAGCTATTCACGCGGCCTTTCGAAGATCAGTCCAGGGACGGGCTACTAGACTTTTGAGACCCCCCTGTCTCACCCTAGGAGGGTGCAGGTCCTTGGGCAAATTGAATTTTGCGGGGGCCATTGACGTTGTATATTCCACCGATAGAATATTAAGACACGTTATAGTCGTACTGGGGCCTTGCTGGTCATAATTGGGACGCGTCATAGCGGATATTTGTTCACTCGGTTAGTTTCCTAAATTTTTATTTTTATATATATACTACAGCAACGCACGGTCGCCCACATCGCCATCCCCTAGCGCCGGCCCTCGCTGACGTCACTTATTTGAATGTCCTATATTTTCCTTGTTGATAATAGTGCGAGGAGTTAGACTTCATGCCACTGGCCGGATGTTGACACCGAGTTATGCACCTGATGTGGCTAATGACGCATACCTCGGGAAAAGCATTTTTTGCCACCCCCTTGGACCAACCACCCCCCCTCCCTTTTTTCTGCAATTGGCCGAAAATGCTACCCCTTAATATTTAAAAAAAAGTGTGCCGCAAACTGTGTGCTGCAACTGTCCCACATGTTTGACTGGCCACCCTTCGCATGGGCCACCCTTCGCATGGGCCACCCTTCGCATGGGCCACCCTTCGCATGGGCCACCCTTCGCATGGGCCACCCTTCGCATTGGCCACCCTTCGCATGGCCCACCCTTCGCATGGGCCACCCTTCGCATGGGCCACCCTTCGCATGGGCCACCCTTCGCATGGGCCACCCTTTCGCATGGGCCACCCTTCGCATAAGATTAAGATTTCCATCGCTAATAATGGTTATATTCGACGATCATTGCGCAAATAACTTTCGAGTCCTAATAAACTAGGGTCCAAGTCTTCAGACTGTGGTCAAATTTGTGTCTGGAGAGCTTACCCGCTTGTAGGACACATGTTCTTTTTATTGTGCGGTCCTAGTGGTGTTATAGGCAGTTCTGCTTTTCCTCGTGGTTTTTTTTTTTTTAAAGGCGGTAGTTGTCAGTTTACTCTGTGAAGAGTGATCCAACAGGCAGACTGCCTCTCCAGTTTGTACGTCTTTACAATGATACCAGTGAAGTTAACAAGGCTGTATTCCCCAGGGTACGGCTACGCTGTCGGTGTCGCGATAAGGTATCGTTTCTGCAAAGAGCTCCAGGACTCCTTCAAAACGGTGGCCATAACCTTCGTGGTCTGCCACGCCTTGAACAAAAGTCTGGATTATGTGAGTGTTCCTCCACCTGCTTTGTGTCATACCTGCTCCCTTCCTTACCTACTCGCCATCTACGTACCCTTCACTCATCCTTCCTTCCTTCAGCCCTCTCTCCCTCCCCCCACACTTTCTTCCTCCCTCTCTCCCTCCTTCCTCCCTCTCTACCCCAACCCTCCCTTTCCCCTTCCTCCCTCCCTCCTTCCTTCCTTCCAGACTACCTTCTCTCACTCTGTCCTCCCTCCCCTCTTCCCCCTCTCTCCCCTCTCATTCCCTATCTCCTCCCTCTGCCTCCATCAACAACAAAAAAAATTTAAAGTGCAAAAACTAAAATCCGAGACTTGGATACATTTTACAACAAACTATATTGTTCTTTCCCTGACATTACAGCCTTGTGCCTACAACAAACTATATTGTTCTTTCCCTGACATTACAGCCTTGTGCCTACAACAAACTATATTGTTCTTTCCCTGACATTACAGCCTTGTGCCTACAACAAACTATATTGTTCTTTCCCTGACATTACAGCCTTGTGCCTACAACGGTTTGCTGGTTGCCACGGATACGGCGATCTTTGAAACTTTTGCTACGATTCTTCTGCCAACTCTAACAACATTTCACGTTAGTGGGTAAGTTCCCTGCCAACTCTAACAACATTTCAAATTAGTGGGTAAGTTCCCTGCCAACTCTTATTACATTTTTACGTTAGTGAGTAAGCTCCCCTGTCAACTCCTATGACATTTCATATTAGTGGGTAAGTTCCCCTGTCAACTCCTATGACATTTCATATTAGAGGGTAAGCTCCTCCCAGCATCCGCCCCGCGGTGTCAAATTGGAGTATTTTTTGTTAAGCAGTTTGGTCAGTCAATTGACCACAGGGCAGCTGAGTGTCAAAGGATTTGTACCGTGGAAAAGAAGAATCACAAAATAAAATAAAAAATCCTGCATGGCTTTGGAGTGTTGAAGTTTACAAATAAATAAATTTAAAAAACAACAACAACAACAACAAACAACAAAACAAACAAACAAAACATGAATGAGGGGGTGGGATTAAAAATGAATACCCTTTTAATAAACCTACACCTTATAAATTCTACATAAAATTGATTACAAATGGTAATTTTAAATATAAAAGAAAAGTGAAAAATGGGTTTGGGGGGGGGGGGTTGGTGGTGTTTAAAACGTTTAAAATCTAGACACATATTAAAATAATTCAATTAAAGACAAACTTTTCTGTAATGGACTTGAGTATAATATTTATTACATATTGGTATGTTGCTTATAGGATTTAACAGGTAGAGAGAGAGAGAGAGAGAGAGAGAGAGAGAGAGAGAGAGAGAGAGAGAGAGAGAGAGAG